GGAACAACTGGACCGTGGACGCCACGTTAGCGCCGCAATCCAGCAGGATCTTCCTGGGCTGTCTGGTACTAGTGGACGGGAGCCTGAAATAAAAAGCAAAGAATCTAAGGCAGGCAACAATGACTTCAGATATAGCTTCATTTTACGGTGACATTCTCCTTGTTGATTTGCATGGAAACACACAGGCTGCAAAACAAAGTGGAAAACTATGTAGTACTACTTTTTTATCTCATGATCATCATCACTGTCAACGGATATCTAAAGTAGTTAGCATAGACATTTAGTGTTAGCATAGACATTTAGTGTTAGCATAGATATTTAGTGTTAGCAAAGATATTTAGTGTTAGCAGAGGTCTTTAGTGGTAAGCCGTTAGCAAAGATGTTACGTGTATTCATGCCCATGTCTTTCAATCAAGAAAGAATGTTGTTATTTCTTGCGATGTGTAAATATACAATCAATCGCTGAATACATGGAGAGAAACTCACGTTGCTTTCGGCGATTGTCCGTCTGTGTGGAGGTGATCATCAGTAGGTACCGCCTTCCCCTGACTTCCCTGCCCCCGTAACAGCCATTCGGGGCTTCTCGGGGCAAGTCTGCTGGGTTCCGTGGCGTAGTGATGTCCCGGGACGGTGAAGATTTGCGTCACACAGCTCCCGATGAAGGCCCCGATCAACAGGAAGGACCAGCGACTTTGGAAGAAGTTACGAACTGCTCTATCCATCGCACTGTACAGTAATGGCGTGAGTTGTATCTGTTTGTAACAACAACAACAAGAAGAAATAAAATGATGGTATATTCAAGTTATTCTCAACCCCACGCTCTGCTTCTTTTTACTGCACCGTTGCTTAGCTTGAATTGAGATTTTAGAAGCGTCTCCGAGACAACAGACGACTTCGTGCTATGTGCCATGAACTTCATAATACAAAGCATTACAGTGTGGTGAATATAGGATCAAATCAATTCTAAGCAACGGTCAAGTCTTACTTTGTCTAAGTTTTATTAATGTGCTCAGCCCAAATCCTAATTAAAAATGTATGTGATATGCCGAACATCTGAGATATTTGTGACTGTGTAATCGAGATAAAGCTCGTTTCAAACTGCATGTTTACGAGTACTTTCCGAGCATAGGTTCGGGTTTTGGCTTATTTCTAGCGTGTTTTAGAATCACCCAACCCAATATGTCTGTGCAAAATGTTGGGTTGGGTGAAAAAAATTTCAGTGCAAAAAGGAAACACCAATTAAAAAAAATCCTTTAAAAACACGCCAAAAATAAGCCATAACCCGAACCTCTGCTTGGAGAGAGTAAGCCTGACGAGACAGACGTCATTGTTTACAAAATGGTAAACAGACGCGTCGCCGCCATGTTTTTAGAAATACCAGTCACGCGGGCCATAACGTAACAGGTACAGGTAGGCACATGATTGGCGGAGTGGTGTTGGATGCTGTTTCTGTAATGTACGTAAACATGGTCACCTAACCTGAGGTCACCGTGGTGCTATGGCAAATACAATACACCTGACAGAGCTACTGAGCGAAGGTAGCCACTAAAACACCCATGGCAAACAATCCGCTACGCCGCGACCAACAACTTTTAAACACAACTGGATAAAGCGATCTCGCCTGATCGTCTATCACGCCTTCTTTCACAGTAAATTGAGTTCCTATTTAGTCATTGTCCTATAAATGTGTATTGCTAAAGCACTAATTATAGGTTTCCCACTGTTAGTCTCCTAATACGTAGCAGGTTCCCACTGTTATTACTCTCCTGATTGGGGACAGTTATGACGTCATTTCAACTGGAAATTCACTCTGGAAACTGAAATGACCATGTTGACCATGAGTTGACAAAATATTTCAATCTTAAGAGAACGATCGTGCAGTATTACACTAATACTAAGTATTTACCTGTCATTGTTTCTAGTGAGTAGACATGTATAGACATTTATTGGTCCAATTCATGTTTCAAACTGCAGGCAAGGTGGGGATCGAGTATTTCCTTATTGGCTTGCCCTGAGTAAAAATTCATCGGTTTAACTGTAACACACAGACACATACAGACACACACACATTCTGTCTCTCTCTCACACACACACACACACACACACACACACACACACACACACACACACACGCACACACACACACACACACACACACATATTCACACACACACACACACACACTCACACACAATAT